GGGTGAGGAGAGTAGCATAAAAAAATATTTTCTACTTTCTAACCAAACACTAGAAAATATTTTTCCGAAAAAATTTTCTACTCACCAACCAAACAAGAAAAAATAAGTGATAAAATCACTCATTTTTCATGAAAAATAATTTTCTTCGTACCAAACACACTCTAAATACTAGGAAAGGGAGAGGAAATGGGAAAGCAGATCACGAGACGGGAAATTGAATTCAACCTTCACTTGCATGATGAAGCTTGGGTCAATCCAATAAGCAATAACCTCCTTATTCTTTGGACCTCTCTTTTTTAAAATGTAAAAAAATTCTCTCTCTGTTATGAATAGAATTGTAATTAGAGTGAATGTCTATCTTTTAGAGAGTTTATTACTTTATGGCTAAGTCATTTTTTCCCTTATAAATAGAGGGGCTTTACCCATTGTAAATCATCTAAAATTCAATAAGAATTACCTCTCTCTTTTTCTTGCAATATTATTCTTTTCCTTATTATTTTATTTCATGTTATCAGTGTCGGGCCCCCTTTTTCTCGCGAAATCGGGTTTCGACATTTCTGGGACAACTCCTTTCCTTTTGGGATGGGGTAAGGGATTTGAAGAGTCGCCACCTAACGGATTAAGGCGCGTTAGGGCACCTAGAACAGTTAACTCATACAACCAGTTTACATCACCAGATATCGGGCAAGGGCTCGAAATTACCTTGAGGGGAAGGTGTTAGGCACCCCTCGAGGTCCACAACGGTCGGTCCCGACCGAACTTAAATTAAGCGAATTAGTCTTAAAAGGGAAGAAAACAAATTAGACAAATACAATATTCAACTTACTTTTTACACAGGAGTATAGGAGTGGTCCTAAGTTTTTTAGCCTATAGGATCATTACATGCAATGCTTTGTAACTCCCACAAGTCGGGGTTTCACTCATAGCATTAGCGCATGGGCTATCATTTCCTTTACTACCCAATTACCATCTTTCAGTTGTTACCTAAGCGTTCTAGTAGCTTCTAACTCGTGCCTTATGCGTGCACTACCCGTCCCTTTCCTATGGTCCTGGAGGTATTTAGGACCTCTATTTAGGGTGGTTCTAGACTGACCTATGTTGCTTAAATGAGAAAAAGCTCGGCGACAAACAAAATTCAAATAGGACTATCATGTAAGGAGCAAATAAGGGCCCAAATAACCTCCACAAGTAGACAACAAATGCACGCAGTTAAATCAACAGATTTCGTTAGTTTAGGATCCTATAGGCAGGATATCTAGATGAGCAAAAACAGAATGCAAGACAACAGTTTGTTAAGGCGGGCATCTGGACCTATCAATTTGCCTACTGATTTTATTAAACCTTGAATCTAGGAATTTTCAGGCAGTAAGATATCACAATTTTAGGACCAGAATAATTAGTAACCCCTACGGAATTGCCTAAGTGATAACCAGAATTAATCAAACTCAAAACTGATTAAGGGAACCCTATAGGCATGATATCCACAACCTATACCGTGATTTCTAAGTGAATTACTGGTTTTAACTCATAAAGACATGTTTTATCCCTTTTAGATCCTATAGGCATGCTTTCTAATTAGTTTAAACCCCTATAGGCAGGATTTCTAAGTGTTGACTTGATTTAAACCTCTATAAGATGGTTTCTAAGTTTACAAACTGATTTCACCCTATAGGCATAATATCTATTAGTTTAAATCCTATAGACATGATTTATAGGTTTGAAACTGATTCTTTTTATTCCTATAGGCGTGGTATCTAAGTTGAAACTGATTTTTTTTACCTCCTATAGGCATGATATCTATCAATCACATGTGGGCAGAATTTTAAGCACATTGCCAAGAAAGGTTATTATTCAAACAGATAGAATCCTATGGACATGGTCACTAATGCATGTAAGTTAAAAATGTGCATGGATCCTATGCACATGATTTCTAATGCAAGGGCCTATAAACAGGATTTCTAGCATGCGAGTAAAATACAGAATACAGAAATCAGAAAATCCTATAGGCATGATCTCTAAACAAGTACTAACATTCACATAATCTCCAATAAACCTATAGGCAGGATTTCTACCCGAGTTTCAAACAAAGATATAGAAAAAAAAAACCCCAGCTTTTACTAATAAACCCCAGATCTGTTTATTACAGAGATTATTACAGCCCAGAATGAATAAATTACATAACTAAATTCATTACACTATCGGGAGCCTTAGCAGGCCCAATATTAACCTGGAAAATAGGCCTTCAAGCAAAGCAAGTCTGAAGTATACAGGTGGTCCATCCATGATACACAAAATTGGGGTTCTAGTATGTCAAAGTTTCCAAGGGCCTCAGGGACCCCGGGCAATGCTCACCCTAGAACCTTACTTAGAAAAACAGTTTGTAAGAGATTGGAAGACCAACCCCTATATGTCAGAGTTCGGATGAGTCTCAAGGACCCTAGGCAGTGCTCACACTGGGGGTGGTAGGAACCTAGGTAACTAAGAGTTGAAGTTTGAAAACCAGTACA